ATGTACATATGTATGCGTTAGTGTAAAGACTTACTGCATCTGGAATTCATTTTGTAGCTTGTTATGGTGTTGCTGGACATGAATCTGCGATTGATGTCCCACAGAATGCTCAGTGCTCAATTTCTCGATAGTTGGTGCGTACTTTCGGCTGAAGTACGCGAGGGTATCTCGCTGTTAAATATTTTATGATAGAACCGTTAAGTCAACGACGTGGTAGGGTAGTGTCCCCTACAAGAGGCTGCACATAAAGTATTAATAGAACATGACGTCCTTACAAGATAAAATATTGATAGAACCAACAAACCACATTAGCATTAATACTGTGAATTTTTATTTTGTTGGTTCTATTAATATTTTATCATTCAAGATATTTCGAAGTCATCCGTTGATCCATCCGTTCATCCCGAATGCACTCTGTCATTCATTTCTTGGATTTAGGGCTATGATGGCATTTCGCATGTTCACATTTTAGTTCGATTCGCAGAAGTGCAATCGTCATCTGTCTCCGTGCTATTTGATTGACACGAGCGAGCGAGCGAGCCTCTGATAACTTGTTCAGTTCGTTTATTTATTGTCCTTGTGCACGAATTGAATTCGAGTCAGTAAATTGCCATCGTATAAATTATTATGCTGTTAAGGAAGACCCATCTTTCCGTAATTGCTTAAGAGCTCAGCTGAGAAGGAAAAATTTTCCTCGCTCACGATTGCCCACTATCTTGAGATTCAGTCAGAAAGCATGAATAGTATTTAGGTAACTGTTCAGCGGTCTTTGATCAGTGAACGATGTGAAAAATTATGTGGCAAAGAAAGGTCACAAAGTCTTTCGGGATGAATTATATATGGTCACGTGAGTATTGTGATTATATGGTGAATAATTTTGAGTGCTCGCAATCCAAATCGATTACGGATTACACCTAAATTATCAATGGTATTGATAAGACAACGTTTCTAAGAAGATCGATGGAAGCAAAAAATTGGTGTGTTGTAATGTTAGCGCGGCAGTGCATTGACTTTTACACCGTAACGTTGTTCTTAATTTTCTGCGATATTTTTATTCTCATAATGTAATAATGAATAGCATCCATTGAGTGATTGGCTGCTGCTGCCGCTGCAGCTATCTTCTTTGCATTATTAATGCTGAGAGTGAAAGCTGAACGACGACGTTGATTCGTTGATGGATGAATGTTTAAATCATTTTTTTGCGATTCCTCAAAAAACAATCGTTGTTTCGTAGAGAATCTTCATTGTCTGACACTTCAAGAAAGTGTCACGAGTATTGAATTATTTGATTTATGATAGAATGCATAGAGAAGCGTCGTTTTATAATGAATATCGAATGTCATTTAGTGTATGCGCGATATTTCAAGTGATTTTTTGAAAATGCGCGATTAGAGTTGCATTTACATTTGAACGATTTTGTTTACATCGGGAAATCTGAATTTACTGATGCGGCGACGACGTTTAATTCATTAGGTTGATATCCGGTTGGATATGCATATTCGAGAATAAATGTGAGTGCTTTTGTGTGCTTGTGTTGATAGCGTAAAAGTAATGGAATGATATTAATGCAATCGTGAATGAATTGAATATTCAGCATTTGTGAGTGTTCATAATTCATAATTCGATGAAGTAGTTGCGAACATTTATTTCATTTTGCGGCAGGTGATAGAAGGCTCGCAAACTTTAGATTGATTCAAGGTGTTGTAGCATTTACAAACCGTAATTATGTGCTCTTATTCGTCATTGAGTGAATTATTCATTCATTCTCATGGATGTCATAATGTGCGTATAATGATCGTTTTATGAATATTTAATGGGGTATTGTTGAATGCTTCATTGAAGGATTGCATTATTTATTTCTTTGACTTGCAACCGGAATACATACGTGCACACAAACGTCTTCTTAGTGCATCCAAAATGCGTTGGTTGAGCGATGTTATTGTGTTGATTGGTTGGTTCTCTGATCTCAGTTATTTCTGAGGAATTGGTTCATGAATATTTCATAGCTTCTTCTGTGTTTTGGCCATGCTTTTTGTGTTCTGATTGTTATGGAAATTTAGAAGTGATGGACTAGATTTTGTCCTGATCGTAAGCAGATTATACAAAGTGTTCTTTTTTAAGAAGAAAAGGCATGTGTTATTTTTGTTGTTTTTGAATTTTACGATCGAATATCAAGTTGAATTTAAATGTGAGAACTTGGCATGTTCCGCTGTTGATTCTTCTTTCAGGACTTGTGAATTTACTGGATGTTCCATAGTAGTACATATGGAACGTTTTAAATACACCTACCAATAATTGTGTACTAGGTGATGTGGTGTATAAAGGTGTTTATGGAGAGAGAAGAAGCTTGCATTGGCGCGTTTTTTCAGTTTAAATTCGAAAAATATTTATTGTACGTTTGATTATTTTTGAGGGGGAGTTGATGATATTTAGTTGTTGAGACGCTGATTGATATTGATTTGCAATCACCTTTCCAACGAGCATGCAGTTGAACGGTTTTCGTTTGTTTGGTTTGCATGTTTTCTGTTCCGTGGAGGACAATTTTTTTGAACGAATTTGCCATTTTTTCAAACGTTTTCCAATGTTCTGACAAAAATGTCGATGAGTAGACATTCGCTAAGGAACGATTCGCAATATTTAGTATTGCTGAATATCGCGTTTTGACATGAATCACTGGGAGAATTTCTGAGAAATTAAATAATTTTTAATACGAATAATAATTTGGAACGCTCTACGGTCTAGGATCGTTCGTTCGAGGGGATTGCTTTATGATGTGAGACGTTTGTTAGTTGGAATAGTTCGGTATTGTCATCCTTATTGATATTGATTTGCTCGATTCTCTTTGAGGTGTCCGCAATTTCACACGAAAAAACTTATAATTGAAACTTTATTTTGTTTCAGTTTCCGTGTTAAATAATGTAGTGTTTGCAAACGCTGTTTCATATGTGGTGAATATTGGATTGTGATTTTTTCCGATAGTATTGTAGGAAGTGACGAGTATTATCGATCAAAACTGAAAATGATGCATAATTTTGATGTGATTATTGTCGTTGTGTGATTATTATGCGGTTATGTTATTTAATAGAATATGATCATTGCAACGAGCCTGTTATCATTATTATTGATATTGTTATTGAATAATTATTATTGATATTATTATCGTTATTATTATTACTGTTTTATTGTTAATGTTAGGTTTCGATTATTATTTGGTGATGCCGCAGTTATTAGTGTTAGTAATATTCCATCGAATTGACACGTCTTAAAATCGTTTGCTTTGTAAGGTTCGGTGGTTTGGTTCTTTGATAAGGATGTCTTCAGCTTAATGCACAGCAGCTACTCTCCTATTTTAAAAATTGTTGGGATTAGGTTTTTAATTACTGGATTATGGAAGAAATATTGTTGCTGAGGAAGAAAATGATAAACATACGAATCAGAATAATGGTAGTAGTAAGAGATGAGAAATAAGATGTTTAAGTTGAAGTGCGACAATGTGCCAATGGAATTATTGTTTTGCTGATTGATTGAAGTGAATCGAGAAAACGATCTGCAACTCGAATAGGCATTAAAGAGGAGGGGCGAGAGACTCAATAATCAGTCCGTTTAAAGAGGTACGGACTGAGCCGTGAAGGCGGAGTCTTTGTTGTACGTATATGTATAAATTTATTGTTGCGGGGATATTAGAGTAGTGGGATGGATATTGGCCAGATAAATTGTTGGATTAATGTTGTGGATATTGAATCGGATGAATGCACACTGAAGATGTTATCTTTTTTGATTTTGATAGATATGTTTGTGGATATATTTGCTTTATCCGTTCGTGTGGTGTTGTTGTTGTGGTGTTCCTATGAGTGATCAGGGACTCTGAGCACTTGAGCAAATCGTGAGCCTGGACAATGGGCACCTCATGCTTCTAAGTATGAGCAGTGATTGAATAACCGCAGCTGTACTTTTATCTGAGAGCAATAAGCTGGCGACTTTGAGCAAACTCGTGAGCTCTGAAAATGAGCAGCTTGAAAATTTTCAGTCGGTCTCGTAAGCCATGAGTAAGTGACACATCAGTCGGTTCCCACAGAAATGTTCAGTCGCTGTTCACTAGTTGTGCCGTTGAGTTGACAACAAAAGTAAATTCCATTTTGGTTTTTGATTCGTGATTGGTGTCGTTGTTGTTGTATTTAAATTATATTTACGAATGATTTAATCATTCATTTATTTGTGTTCCATCGGCACATGTGACCAAGTTTCTCAATGATGTGTTGCTCAACGTTATAGGCAGTTGTCATTTCGTGTTGTTCATTCGTCGAAATCGTCTTTGAAATAACGTTACTCTTCTCGAATTTGATTGTGAACATCATCAGTTTTACGATCGTGAAATTTTTGATGTTACTCGTTTAAAATTTATCCATTTGCATAACTTTTATCGTTAGTAATTGCCCATTTGCATAACTTGTCGCTATTTCAGTTCGGTCGGTACACGTTCGCAGTATTGTTGATCTATATCCATCGTCATCGTGGAATAACACAGATAGTACCATCCATCTGGTGTTCATAATTCACACAAAGTTGGAGCATTGCGTTCGTATTTGAGGCGGCGAATTTTCTCATTCATTTGATTTGCTGATTTCAATCGTTCTCGAACGCAACCAACAACTCGAATCAATCATTACTCACGATATTGGGTGTTCTGTGCTACTGCTGCTTAAAGAATCGCCTATTTCTGCTTCGCAGTCTGAATCTATTCAAAGTATTCGACGTTGGAATTAATCGTTGGAACGAGCTGTCATCCATTTGAAAAATCCATTTTGCGTTTCGTCATTGACGGTTCATCATCACATCTTGGCGCCGTCATCGTCACGTCACGTTTTTGCTTGTCATATCATATCATATCAGTATTTTGTTTGGAACTGTGATATTCGTAACCGACCAACTGCATTCACGAAATCGTTCGTCATTTGTGTCAGTCANGTCAGTCACTAAAGTGAATCTATCCATCCACTCAAATGAATATGACTGATGTTGCACAACAGTCAGAGGCGTCAGCATTCAGCGCATGGCAACATGGTGGTATTAACAGCGAGAGCAACGCTGTGACACCACACATGAACAACAATGGTAATAGTAATATGATTACGACAGCTGCTGCTGGTGAACCGTGCAGGTTGGTGGCTTTTTATTTCTTGTTTTGTGTTCTTTGTTTGTTGATCGTTTGAAATGTTGATTTAGTTAGTTAGATTTTTCTTGTATTTGTTGTATTGTTGAATTTATTTCAATAAGAAAGTTTTTTTGGTGACTTGATTCAAGTGTTTTGTTTGTTTATTGTCTTTGTTGCATTTAGTAAGTTTTGCATATGTATATATCGTGATTCTGGTACATTTATGCTGCCTTGCTGAACTCGTGAACGCGAACGTAATTCGATGCCCGCTTATGCAGTTTTGTTGATCTTCAAATAGTTGTGTTTGCGTACCTGCTTATTGCGCTGCACATACGCCTGACAATGAGCAACATATTGGCTTTATCGAATTTATCAGTGACGCCACCCTCGCGTAATTTTCTATCCATCTTCTCCTACTTCAGTGATATTGAGTTGGAGATTTTATAGTGTCATTATCGTCTCAGTTTGATATTCATCTCATTTTTGCCTNACATCAAATGATGCAGAATGTCATTTTTTTGTTCACGTTGTGCAGTACAAATGGTTCAGTGTGAACGCAGCAGCAGCAGCTAATGTAGAAAATAGAATTTTGCAAACGGCACTACCACAACGGCGTAATGTATTATAGTTGTGAATGGGAGAAAATGTGCAAAATTTTAGGGCTTTATCGTATAATAATCAATTTTTTGTCGCGTTTATTTCTATTGCTTTTTCAAAGTTCTCGTAATCGTATTTGCGGCCGTTCCTTTTTATTTTCTTCTCAATGCAAATGAATTTACGCACACAAACGAATTCTGACTTATACGATTATTTGAAAGAATTACTCGTATGATTTGATGGTTATTCGCTGATTGTTGGCATAGAATTGAATGTCGAGTCGTATTTTTGGGTGATTGTGAGGTGAGGCACGCGCTCCGTCATTAACCATCAATAAGCAACTCGTTAGAAATGTCTGAAAATGATTGATTATTTTATCAATTGACAGGTGCAGACGCGTAGATTATGATTTTAGTGCAAAAGCTCTCGAAGTGTTGCTGCTGCCGTCAAAGTATTTAAGTTTCACGTTTGGATGAGTCTGTTTCATAAACTCTTCATTATGCTCTTGAATTTTTGCGAAATTTCTCGAAAACAATGTCAAATTTTCCGAAAGCAAAAAATTCTTTACGCTATCGACAAGATTTTTTCCGCTAGAATTTCTCATTGTCAGAATTTCTTCGGAATTCATTTCGAAATAGATGAACGAAAGATGAAAACATTGTGCTGTTTCTTTTTTGTTTGCTGGAGGAAATTTTCGATTTTTTAGTCATATTATTGTTATTGTAGTTGAAATGATTTATCGAACTCTATCCATCACTGCGTTCTTATCTGATTGCGTTCGTCTTTCTCGGAAACATTGTTTGATGGCGCAGTTTTGGGTTATTTGAATGCGTATTGCTGCTTGCTGAAATAGTTCCCTCGAGAGTGATACAAATAATTGTTTGGTGCAAAATGGCAAAGAATATTCGATATTGGGAAACGTTCTCGACATTTCTATATTTAAGAATCGAATAAGCAAGAAAGTGAATGAATGGCTTGTTCGGGTTGTGGTTGGCCACTGGAAGATATGAAGCCATGATTTGAGAGCGAGTCTGTTGCCTAACTTTGATTCGATAACGGCTATAAATAAATCCATTTTTCGACTTAAGATGAAAGTTTCACGCCAGCGGATTCTGAATTTTATAACGGTGGATAATTGGAACAGTGTAGGATGGCGGGTCCGGATCAAGTTGACTGGAAAGGTTTTCGCTGGAAATTAATAATAGGATTGAGGTAAAGACTGAAATCAACAATTTCAAGTCATGGCGAGTTTATGCGTCTGTTTTATTACGCATATCACATTTTCCCTTCCCTTCCCTTCGAGCACTTTCTTCATTCCACGCAGTTAAGATAAAAGCGTAGGGAATTATCTGTGTTAATGAAATTCTGATGTGGATTGCTGATATATTGGCGATCGAGAGGTGCGAAAAGCAATTGTCTTGTAGTGAGGTATTTGACTGAAATTTACATTTATCCTAACGTGTGCTCTTTGACATAGGTAAATTTCTTATTTTAAATCATTGGTAAGTGCAGGGTGAGAAGCGATGGTCCCGTTTTGGAAGACTCTATTGAAACGAATGTAAAATTTTCTGTTGAAATGACAATTTTCATTCATAAAATGATATTTGAATGGTGCGACTGATGCTATGTGATGCGTTCTGACGGTGACGTTGACGGTCACTTAGGCAAATTAAATGAATATTGCATGCTTGTTAATTCCGTGTGAACGATAATGTACGGTAGAATAGCGCATTTTATTCGAATTAATGTGATAAGGAGGCAAATGGGACGATAATTCTTTAGATCTTCCTTATCGCCCTTTTTATACAGCAAAATGGTATTTGACCCTTTCCACTGAGAGGGTATTTTGCCCTGCTTCAAGTAGATGTTGAACCTTGTCGCAAGGGCTTTCCAGAATGTTTCCCCAGTGCTCCTGATCATTTCTGATGTTATTCCGTCTTTACCAGGAGCTTTGCCGCTTTTTGTCAGATGAAGAGCACTTTCGATCTCGCTAACCAGTATTGGTGGCACGTCATCCATTGCCTTTGGTGACGGAGGAGTGAACAATAAGGATGACTTGAAAAGATTCGTGTAGAAGTTTCTGCAAACCTCCTCCATTCCTCTTTTGTCAGTCACCGTCTGTCCATCGTTGTCTTTTAGTGCCGTCACCTCCCTTCTATATTGTGCCATTTCTCGTCGGCATTTTTTCATGCTTTTGCCTTTCTCAGCGACTTTCAGCAGTTTTCTTAATTTGTACCTCTCGAGGTCTTCCTTCAGATGCTGCCTGATGGCTTTACATAAGATGGAATACTCGACGAGGTCTGTTTTGTTTCTTTTCAAGGATTTCCGTCTTTCCATTAATCTCTTCGTTTCCTCAGAGAATCTGTCATCCTTGAGTTGCTGTTGGTCGACTTTAGCCTTCCTAAAGCATGCCTTTAGCTTGGTGATTAGCGAGTCGTAGTCTTTGTCAATCTCTTCAATCTGATCCCAGTTTTCTTTCTCGATGGCGTCTTGCAATACCATCTCGTCGAAGGCCTTGATGCGTTGGTGTTTCATTGAGATATGCAGCGCTTTCTTCTCTCTTTTCTTGTCGATGACGATTTTCGCCCGAACTAAACGATGGTCGCTGCCGGTGTTGAAGGGAGCCACGACAGAGACGTCTTGAAGTAGTCGCCTTCTGTCGATCATGATGTAGTCGATTTCGTTTCGGTACTGAGCATTCGGAGCTATCCATGTCCATCTTCTCGCTGGTCTTTTTTTGAATAGGCTGTTGCCAATGTAGAGTTTATTCGTCTCGGCAAAGGTTACTAAACGTTCTCCTCTTTCATTTCTTTCTCCTAGTCCAAATTTTCCAATATATTGTTCTCCTTGCCACCCTTTCCCGACCTTTGCGTTGAAATCGCCCATGACGATGGTGTATGTGGATTTTTTAGTAAGAGCCGTTTCCAGCTCCTGGTAGAATTCTTCAACCTCATCGTCATCAACAGAGTTTGTTGGGGCGTAGGCCTGGATGATTTTGAGGGTGGCCTTTCCTGATACTTGAACGTTTAGAACCCCTATTCTTGATGACAGAATATTGCACGAGACTATTTTAGAAGCCCATTCTTTACTTACGATGAATCCAATACCTCCGATTGTTCGAGTACCGTCTCCTTTGCCCAATCTCACGGCGCTCCCATCGTTCCATCTTGCGTTGAGTTCTTCTTTTCGACGTGTTTCACAGAGCCCGAGAACGTCGCATTTAATTTTCTTCGATTCCTCCATCAAGTGGGTCAGTCCGGTCCTCCCTGCCAATGACCTGCAGTTATAGGTGCATATGGCTAGGGTTGTTTTTCGATGTTGTGACGGCCTGTCCGGACCTGAGATTCTTAGCAGCCTCTGGACTCTCGAATCCCGTCCCGCCGTCGTAGTACGGTTCGATTGCCCTGCAGGGTACTGAGGCCCATTTTCTTGCATTGTTTTAGCCATTTGTGACGCCATCCCGCTGGCTAGGCGGGCAGGCCAATATTGGAAAATTGAAAAGCCGGGTTGGCCCGGTTGGCCCTAACACGAGAGCGACCTAAGCGACCGACCGCTCAACACCACCGAATCAAATCCCAAATCGTTTCA